GAGAGAGAGAGAGAGAGAGAGAGAGAGAGAGAGAGAGAGAGAGAGAGAGAAAGAAAGAGAATGTCTTGTTTAAAAAAAAAGGTGAGTGGTGGGCTTGGCCTCCGCTACGTCGCTACCTCAGAATTACAAGGCTCTATCTGACATTTTTGGCCATTTTGAGTTTCTAAAACCATGAGGCCAGAAACCAAAAGCTCTATCTGCTCTATCAAAATCGTAGGATTATTCGGAGACGTTGTCAAGATATTCAAAGAACTGCATTCGAAAAAGCCTGACATGTTGTAAAGCTGAAAAATTTTGACGTCAAATTTATCAAAAATCAGATAAAACGTTGTAACTCAAAGGTAGCAATTTGAAGCTAAAGGAAGGACAAAATGTGCGAAACGGTGGACTTGGTTTCAATATTCTAATTTTTTCTAAACTAGAGTCTGTGTCTGCCTCCATGTTTTTTTCTACTGTACAGTGATGATGATGATGATGATGATGATGATGATGATGATGATGATGATGATGATGATGATGATGATGATGATGATGCTGATGATGATGATGATGATGATAACAAAGGCCCTATACTTTCCCAGACTGTATTTTGCCATCTGCTACACCCGTTACACTCTGATGGCAGTCTGCTCGTCCTTGAATTTGTTTGTCTACGTCAAGTTCAACAGCAACTTCCGGCGTACTCTCCACGCCATGTCTCCGGGCGGAGCACAAGATTAGTGACGTCATCCGCCAATAGGACTGCTTTCCGGAGTTTCGCAAATTATTTCAGCGACTAAAAGCTGCTTACTTTTCGGGGACCAGCGTTTATATTGAATTTAGCAAAACGACCTGCAAAGAACCCAATTTTATCTTTAAAAAAAAACACAACAACTTTAGCACACGTGGTTTTATGTCAAAATTTTGTTTGTCATTGGTGAACTTTATGTTTTAAGTGGTGAATCAAGGTCTCCCCGTGCGAACACAAGCATCTCTATATTTATGAAAGTTCGTCACTTTGGCTGCCTAAAACTTCCCAATCAACTTTCGAATTTGAAAAAAAATAAAGGTGGTTCTGAATCATTTAAAGGGTGCACAGTTTTACTGAGGAGTCTAAAGTCACTGTTGTTTAATTTTCGGTTTTTCATTAGTTTCGTTTAGATCTAGTCTTGGGAAAGTACGTCTTCTAAGACGCCATTGTAAACAAGTGAGGTTTCCGTTAACTATCCGTGTGTACTCATTCCACACCTTGAAATTATGGAGTGTACAACCACGAAAGCAGAATAGAGAATCAATCTATACATCTATTATATATTGGCAACTTGGAAACACATGTGTCACTTTTCTCTCAGGATTTAGTGCTCCATTCCTGTAGAGTGTAAATATAGTAGGCCAATGACTTTCAATTGATGTTAATGCACCGGTCATTCTTTTCATCGAAAGGGGGCCAAGCTAGTATCATATATATGCCGAAGATTAGGAGTGTCACTTAAGATTATCATAGAAATAAAAGAAGGAGGAAAGATTATAACGATAGATGTTCGATAGGAAAGAAGTAGCAAACCAAACAAGAGCACCCACCAACCACCCACGATCCCTCTCCGCACAATACCAGACTGTGTGACGTAACGGCGAGGCTTTTCACCATTGTTCCCAGAAAACAGGAGCTCAATTCTCGTTTGGAGATTGTTTTTTCTTCTATCCAGTAGGCCTACATGTATCTCCGTCTGCGTACTGGCGTGAGGTGTTGAATCTCAATCAGCCTGGGTAGGCCCTGACAACCAGGCTCAAAACAGCCAGCCTCTTTAATGGGGGCGATTTGTGCTGATGGAGGCGTAAAACGTTTGTATGCTATTCTCCCCTTTGCAATAGCTCAATAAACATTATTTGAGCAAACAATTACCTCTCTTATGGACTTAAATTCCCTTGGTGGCTTGAAGAATTTGAAGTTGAAGTCTATGTCAAGACAATGTTGTAGAATTATTTGCTCTTTTTGTTTTTTGCGAATAAATTTGCTTAAAGTAAAAAGTCATGACAAATATAGACCATTTCAATTTGTACAGTGAGGCAACTTATTACGGACTACAACCAGGGGGGGGGGAGGAGTGGAGTGGAGGGAAGGGGAGGGGAGGGGAGGGGAGTGGAGGGGAGGAGAGGGGAGGGGAGTGGAGTGGAGGGGAGGGGAGGGGAGGGGAGGGGAGGGGAGTGGAGGGGAGTGGAGGGGAGGGGAGGAGAGTGAAGGGAAGGGGAGGGGGAAGGAGGAAGGAGGTGTTGTTTATTTTGTTATTGTGTGATAAGAGTTACTTCTCTGACTCTTGTCTGGTCATCGTCATACGGCTACTTCAGAATTACAAAGTTCTTTGGCCGCCTACATTTTTTGATGTTTTGAGTTACTTAGACAATGAGGCCAGAACTTAAATTGTTCTATCTGCTCTACGAAAATCTTAGGATTATTTGGAGTCATTATCAAGACATTCAAAGAATTGTATTTGAAAAAACCCCCAACAACACTTGACATGATGTGAAACTCAAAATCTTTGACGTCAAATTTCTCATAACTAGGCAGGCATTGAGCAGATAGAACGGTGTACATCTGGGGGTAGGGATACACCGATGAACGAGCTGTTATGTTGTGTGTTATGTGGGGTAGAGATTATTTGTTTGCTTTCTCAAATATAATTATATGTAAAGCGTGCTGAAAAAATGAGTTACTTCTCGGATTTGAAGCGTATGGAAATAGATGTCTCCCTGCGACACCCACCGGTACAAGCGGAAGAAAAAAGTAAAAGTAAGTAAGGAAATAGATACGTCATGCTTATATGTGATGTTTTTTTTTACCATTTATAAGTATGCAATAATAAAAGGCATGTTATAGTTAAAGAATTTGGCAGCGATGGAACATCTCCAAAATTGACCCTTATAGTGTCGATTTTTGGTCAATATCTATTTTTGTGGATTGCGAGAAGTATCTCACTTTGTCAGCACACCTCACAATTATTGTCGTACATGTTGTTGTATCCGTTCAGTTTAGTTAGTTTACTTTTAGTAGAGGTAACGGCGCCGCAACTGCATAAGGCCATATGAGCGCCAGAAGATTAGAGGTGTTACAAGAGAGTAACAAACATAAAAAAGAAGTAGGGGAGATAAGGACGATAGATGTTTCATAGGACAGAAGAAGCAAACCACACCAGAGCACCCGCCAACCACCCACTGTTGTATCCGTGGTGTCGCTTGAGATTGCAATGTTGGACAACTCTGAATAAGAGTTTGAAGGAGGGATGTGGGGCAGGAGAGACAAGGGAAGACAAAGAGTATCATGGATGGACAACATAAAAGGATGGACTTTCCGGGATAATAATGATAATAGCAGCATGTTCAACGGCAGTTCGCAACCGTGAAGGATAGAGTGGAGGGTCTTTACACGTCAACCTCTTTATTTTAGTTTTAGTAGAGGTTTTACCGCGCTCGTAACTACATAAAGTCATATGAGCGCCAGAAGATTAGAGGTGTTACAAGAGAGTAACCAACATAAAAAAGAAGGAGGGGAGAT